CATCATCATCATCATCATCATCATCCACTGTTAGTGGTAACGTAATATACCCAAAACGTACATGTGTTGTTTTCCATTTTGAGAATTCCACTAAACTGCGTGGGGTCCATGTTGAGAATTCCATTGTATATAAATCAATTTGCAGGTCACCAAATGAGTAGATGATTCCTTTGGGAAGTCAATGAATTTGTTTCACCATGTTTCACCATGTTTCACCTTTTGGATGATTTCTTGGTCTCGTTGAATTTCACCGTGCCTTACCCGCAGGACGACGCCAGCAGCGCCACAGCGGAGCTGTTGCGACATCAGCTGCGCCGGGAGCCCATCGCCAGGTCTTCCGCGTTATTCGTGTGGCCGTGGACTGTCGCTGCAGGTCGCCTCTTCTTGGTTCTTTTCACCACAGATGTGGCGTGCGTTTTCGAGGAGGCGGGGCTGGGAATCAAGAGCCGAGAAAACATGGGAAACGATGAAGTAGCAAGAACAACCATGATAATGATTGGACACCGTAGCCATTTTTCAGGAGTTTCATATCAAATGCAGTGGAATTATTTAAAAAATATGCATTGCTTTAGAACGAAATGTTTTTTCGTGACACGGCCAATGTCTACGTTTTTCATATGTGTTTGTTCTCCTCAGTCAAGCTCTGCATTCATCATCTGCATTCATCATATTTTCACGCATTTGTCGAGCATCTCAGCGGCATTCCTGAAACGTGCAGTTGCTGAATGGCAAAGTGGCTGAAGCGTGGTTGCTAAATCGTACTGTTTGGTTGCTGACGCTGAATCCGATGGTTGCCGATGGTTGCTGAATCCGATAGTTGCTGAGACGTTGGTTGCTGACACCATGACCAACGTCGAAAATCGTCGAAAAACATGTAAAAACGGGTCCAGTTTTCAGTCCCTAGGCAAAAGCAAGCATCGGCAAAAGCAAGCACCTGCATACCTTGGTTGACCTAACTGGAAGGTCAAGCTACATTCATTGTGTTGGGGGAATTTGCCAGGAAAAATCATGAACAATATGTCGCCATTCATGTATATTGGGTCACACATGTGTCACAGGCTTTGTTGTTTCAGGACTTGTATGTTTCAGTTTCATCCTGGCAAGGCTCTGAGTGTTGTATTCATCATCCATCACTGCAGTCCCGTCCGCAGCCGGAGGCCTTAGAAGCCTTGAGCGTGCTGCTCTGCTGCGACGAGGTCTTTCGTGAAGATTTGGAGGAACCAAGTGCCACGTACATTTGCTAAACGCGCAAACGAAGTACGTTCCGAACATGCAACGTGAAGAAGAAAAACAACAACACAGTAAATAAGTATAAAATATAATCCTATGAATTTGCTCAGATCAAATCTCCGACCTCGGCAATCTGAATAGTGAAGATTGAGGGCAGACTGAGATCAAAGATCGGAATGTTGGGGTGGGATCTTCCATCCATCCGCACGCGAAGGTTTTCCAGGTGGTTTAGTCTCATGAGGGCGCAATGGCAGTTGTATAAGGGTTTTGTATTGGTCCATGGGGTGATTGGTCTTTCAAACTCGTGCTGTTGATTGTCCAGCTCCAGGACAAAGAACTGCAAGAAGCCTTGGCAAACAGCGCCAGTTCCACAGGAGCCCGATCTCTTGTTCTGCTCGATGGTTGCGCGATGGGTGTATGGCTAGACTGGACAATTCTGCTGTGTTTGTGGGAGCGTTCTTGCTTTTCTATTCATGGCCGCACAAAGATGCCTTGTAGACAAATGTTGGACACAAACACAAAACACGATTTGATCAGCGGGCGGGTGCGGACGCGTGTATTGTTGCACACTGATGGATTACTGGTCGTGCTTGCGGCGCATGCGTTTTATCTGGATGTTCGGTTCACAAAAACCAGTCGACCATTCCGTTTCTCCTCGCCCAGTCACACCTGGTCGGAGCATTCTTGTTGAAGCTTCGGTGATGGGGAACTAGTGACTAGTGGGGACACTATATGCAGTTGATTAGAAGGTCCTGTGGGATTGAGAAGAATTCAGGGTTTCGTGTCAAGGGGCTTTGTGGTCTCAGAACGTTTGCGGTCTCAGAGAATCCCATCGTCGCGAGTTCTATATCAAGACTCCCTTTAGTTCTATATTGTTGACATTGGCCTCTTCTTCGGTTCGATTTTGCCTGAAAAGTGTCCAAAAGAGCAACGTCATAAACCTCTATGAAAGAATTTAGGTAGGACTTAAGATTATGAATCTGCGCGAAAGGAAAACTGCAGTTGGGGAAAGCTTGGCGAAAGGTTTGGAGAAAGGCTCTGATTTTTTGATGAATGGATTTTGTTGCGAAAGGGTTGGCGAAGAGGTTTTCAGTACAAAGCATGTCATCCAAAGATTCATGATAACCAGGCGAAAGGTTGGCGAAAGGTTCGCGAAGATGTGGCGAAAGCAGTGGTTGCAGATTAGGAATGATTCCCCTTTGCTGATACATGCTGATACTTTTCTTAGATGTAAGTAGCAGAAACTCGGCGAAAGGGTTAGCTAAAGAGGTTGTCGGGTGAAGTGGGTCGGCGAAAGCACAACATGCAGCCGCGAAAGCGTTGCGAAGGGATTGGCGAAAGGTTGTTATAATCTTAATAAAAGTTCCGGATGGTTTTTGACACCGCTCAAAACACCTTGGCCCTGCACCAGCACAGCTTGGACCTGCACCCAGCGACTGGTGCTCAGCGTCTCCGCGCTCGCGCAGGAGTGGAAGATCTCAACTTCGAGTGGCCTCCGGAGGCAGAAGTGGAGTCGCAAACGGTGGGTGGCGGAAGAAAGAGAAGGATCCAGGATGCGAAGAAGCAAGGAAGGTCTGAAGGAGAAGGTGTTGAGAGATGTTTGAGAAGGGATTGGCTCTATCATTGATGACTGCAAGCAGCAAGTTGGGGGCGGTGGTTCAAGCCAATCTAAGTTTGCTTTGAGCGTCATGGATCTTTGGGCAGTGCAGATGTAAGACCCACACGAAAAGAAACAAGAAGGGGAAGGGTCCCTTTGGCCTGGCTACCAACAGTGATGGACATTAGGACCTTCAACTGTATCTCAGCGCTTGCGCGCTGCGCTGGTTGCGCTGGTTTTCCCTTCCCCTAATGGCTCAAGAAGCGGAATGCAACGGGTGCAAGCAAGGCTTGTGGATTTAAGGGACATGTTTGGATTTGAGCCCTGCATTCTCCCAGTCACTCCCAAGACAGGACGGCTGGAAGGCCCTCCACATTTGGTGCTGTTTTCCTGTTTTCACATTACTTTCGTTTAGAGAGGGATTTCCTGATCTGGAAGCAAAACCATATTTGTCCGACATCCTGATTCATTAATTTGTTTTCCCTTTGCAAAGTATAGGTACTCCTTGCAAAGGTCTGGTTGGGGCATATCTCCGAACAATCCATAGGACTGGGAACTTCAGCCACCCCAACTGATCTGCAAAGGCTAGGTGTCCCAAGAGACTGTTCAGATGTCTTGTTGCATTGATGCTCACTGCGTGAAGTTGAAGGAGGCGTGGACATTTTGCTCACATGGACATCAGCCGGAAACAGCTGTGCAAATCACGCACATGTTCAGTCAATTGTGAAAGTCGGTACGTCCAGAGTTGTTTCCCGTAGCTTGGACATGGGACATGTCGACAGTCTGGGTCGACCCCAAGACGGACGCAGCGTTTCCGGATGCAGCGATGGTCGACCTTTGGCGGCGATGGTCGACCACGTGGGCCCTTCCTTTGCGACCGGTCCTGGTTTCACATCGCGAGGCCAATCTGGTTTGGGTGATTGATGTATCTTATATGGCCATCTGTTTGGTGATCTTCAGATGTGTCTTATATGATCTTCCAGGGTGCTAGTCTGGTTTGGAAACATGCTAGACAGCACTTGATGGCATTTTCTTGATGGACAAAGTCTTCAATGAATTGTCATAGAACACACATGAGAACCCACAAATATTTGGTGCGATGGCAATGTTTTTTTTGAACAGTTTTAGTTTAGTGCTTCTAATGAGATCATCAACTATGGGAGAACTCAAAGGTCAACACGCACAGGGTCAAAACATGTCAAAATACGCAACCATGCTGTCATCTTGTAAATACTTAACAGATCCAGCTCGAGAAAATACTTAACAGATCCAGCTCGAGATAAAGTTGCCTACCCACACTACAATACATTACTGACATGACACCTTCATCCCACGTCTAGAAAAGGACAATTACCCCCCCTCAGGGTTGACCAGAGGGTTTCACAACAGAACCACATTCAGCACAGACCAACACCGGCATGCGCTGCGGCTTGTGCCCTTGGAAGGGACGTTGAGAGCTTCACTAGGATAGGATAGGTCATCAAAAGCATACAGAAGACGCACTACCAAAGATAGCCGGTGCTGGTTTACAGTACAAGCTACGCTATGAGACTAACTATACACCTGTCACTAGAAATTCCTGTAAGGCTTCGCCATCACTGTTCTGCTTGCACTGAGGTATAGCATTTGGTTGATCTTGGCAGGAGCTAAGGGTTCGAAGGGTTGCAGATGTGTTGCGCAACCCGGATGGAAGATGCTTTCGGCCCAAACAGAACCTGCACCTCACAGGCTCGGCTTTCAGGCTTCACCTAAAGAACATGATCCTCTTGCACGGTGAGCGACATTGACCACTGAAGGTCACTTCCCAGTCACCGGATATTGGAGGATATTGGTGTATTCAGTGGTCAATGGTGTATTGGGGTGTATATGGTGTATTGGGGTGTATATGGTACGATATTCAGTGGTCATTGGTGTATTGGGGTGGATATGGTACGATATTCAGTGGTCAATGGTGTGTAGATGGTACTATATATCGACCAATACAAACAAAGTACTAGACTATACTGGACTCGTTGGTCTATTCAGAGAAATCGGATTTTCGAGTGTTTCCCGAATCACTCTCTCTGCCAGCTGGATCCTGATTCATGAGGAGCGCCCACACCGTCCGCAAGCGCGGCTACACACGGTGATGCAAGCGCCGTTGAGACCTATCTCTATCCAACTGAGGCCTTCGCCCTCTCAGTGGCACCACTGTGTAAGGAGACCGAAGAGTCAATGGCCAAGCTTTGAAGATTGGAACTGTTGGCACATTTGCAGCTTTAGCCACAGATCCAGACTTGTTGAAGATGTTTTGCTAAGGCACTCAGAGGATGGCTGTTTTTTCTCCCTTTGGTTTACTATGCATGCACGTTTTCCTTTGGACAATGCCACCAGTTGAGCAAAAAGAATGCAGATGTCCTTCAAACCCTGGGGTCGGCGGATATAAGCATATATATATATATATTACATATAATATTTCATAAACAATTTTGTGAGCATGAATTTGTTTGGTTTGTCCTTCTGAGTAGCCTTCTCCGGCCTTTGCACCCCTTGATCGGGTCACTGTCATGCTTCCTGCAGAATTCTGTGGCACCAAAAGAACCCTTGCGCATGTGAGGAGTGCTGCGGATATTTATGGTCAATTACAGTGGCAGAAAGCTGACTGAACCTTACAATTCGCTTCGTCGAATCATGACCAATGAATGAAAAAGTCCGCAAGTGGCCAGTGAATCTCTAGTATGCCGGTCCTAGCTTTGTCCACATCCAAGAAACACCTTAGACTGACTTGGTGCCCAAGCGAGAGAACCAGCAAATTCACAAACCAGCACATTTTTTTGACACCGCAACCGACCCCTGTTACACACCGCAACCCACTCTCCTGTTGTCTCTCAACACCAAACAACACAAGGAGTGAGGTCTTCCAATTCGTGTATGGATCTTAAAACACAAGTCCTGCATCTTCTGACACGCTTCGCATGGCTGTGCTGCCACAGGAGCTCAACGCATCCCTTGGGCTTCACCTGGGCCTTGAGCACTACGTCGCCCTCACCAGCGCGGGTACCGAACACCCTGCAGCACGAAGGTTTGCTGGGCACGTGGCTGAGGGCAAGCAGTGGCTGGAGCTGGAAGTGACGCGGGTGGCTTGGTGGCTGAAAGCAGAGAGGTCACTGTATCCAGAGAGGTCGCTGAGCCGGAGAGCATGTGAAAGAAAGCATCTTTTAAACCAAGAACACCATCTTTGGGTTGCTGTTTGATCCCCCTCATGGGATAGACACCCGGCCTCCAAGCAAAGCCACCCAGACTTGCAACTGGGTAAGATCGCAAGGATTAGGCGGTCTGTTCTATAGGCACAGACCCATGCGCAGGGTATGTGGAATGTCCGAACATGACCAAAAATAACCGAGAATAAAGGGGTTCACTACTACACAACTCAAGCACTCCATGTATCGCAGGGTCAATGTAAAACAATAACACTTTTCATATCTTTATAATGCACATTGACACTGTATGGTCGAAAACATGGTACAGATCACTATAAAATCTGTAAATCACGATTGGATCAAGGGATCGTCATGTTCTCCCTGCCCTTCTATTCGGATGCTGCTCCTATCCGTCAGAGTCCGTCAGAGTTCTACACTTCACCGTCTAGTCGCGACCCACCAGGCCTTGGGCTGGGATGAGTCCTTCGTCCAGCTGCGCGCCCTTCGGCTCCGCGTGGACCACGAGCTGCGGAACGCGTGGCTCGGTCGACCCCGACTCGGGGCCCGACTCGCTTCGGAGACGTCCATATATGGCCACCCAGACACGACCTGTTTGGGACTGCCATAGGACTGCCAATCAGGCCAGGGGTGGTTGACTGGGGGTCAATTGATTGGCATATATGGCAGTCCCATGGAGTGTCTGGGTATGATGATCCTATGAGGTATCTTTGCTTTTGTTGGAAGCATGCTGTTGAAGCCGAGCGAAAAGGTGCGTAGGTGCGTCATAGAGAAAGCAAGATACGTCCTCTCCTGGTATATGTTTGTGTTCTTTCCGGCCATCCAAAAATAGCTGGAGTGTCGGTACAGTCGGTATTTGCTGCATCCTTTTTGGGACACCTTCCAGAAAAAAACAAAAAACACTTCACCGATCTTGGGGCCGAAGTGTCGTGGATTGGTTTTCCTGGATCCACAGACCCTAAGGACACCTATAGACATCACTAAAACCATCAAAACACGCACGATTGATGTGATTGGATCCTTTGGATATAGGCTTGGAAGGAGGTGGCACGCGGTGACGGTGGTGACACCTTCTTGTATCCTCAAACAATATGAAGCCAATGTCTAATGTACTGACTGCACGCTAAAAATTGACCAAGGCAGACAAAACAGCAGTTCTGGCAGGTAGAACATGGTAGAACTTGATTGATTATAAGAATAAAGGTGGAACATGTTTCAGGGTTTCAGGGCACCCTTTGTGTAGCAGCAATCACTTTGCGAATGTGTTCGTAACAGATGTAGATAACCTTTGATCCTCTTACCTTAGCTCAAGATCTTGTCTCCCGCGATGGAACGTACGACCGAACACTCCGCGGGTCGTCCAGGTATCGCCTGAACTGCACGCTGGACGCGTCGTATCTCTTGGGTGATGAGGTGCCATCGCTGCTCCTGGAGGCCGAAAAAATACGCCACACGCGAAGAAGGGCCCTGTGAGGAGTGTGCTGCTCTTGTTTTCTGTGAGAGGGAACAATTGTTATTAGAGTGACTTATTTTTCTAGTCGGTACTGGTAGAGTATAGTAAGGACATGGTATAAGTAAGAACTATTCTTGACAGATCAGCACATCCCCATTGAAGCTTGGACATGTATTCTTTTTCATTAGAGACTACAATTACAAGAGGCTTCAGCTTCTATTCTAAACCTCCAAATGGACCAACAGCCACGGACATACAAGAGGCTTCAAACCACTTAAGGGGCTCCAAGACTGTGGGACACCTGGATCTGGTAGACGCTTACGCCGCCTTTGGGCGGATCAAATCCCATCGTTGCGTTTTTAATGGGAGGGTGGATGAAAAGAGGATGGAAAGAGGATGAAAGAGGTGTGATGTCAGCTCCTGTCTTGAACGTTGTTTTTCACATGTTTGTTCGATGGTTGTGTTGCTAGAAATCCACATCTTGTTAGTCAGATGTTGTCTTGTCAACTTGTTATCATATTTCAGTGCATGGGTCGACTGTACAAGACGCATGCTATGCTTCCATTTCTTGTTTTGCTTGGACGAACGATCTCGTAACTCGTACCGTTCGACACATGTTCAGAGGTGGACACAGAGGAAGTCTACGACTGGTTCCGCTATGCCGGATACCTGCGCTGGGCAAAGCAACTCGGTTGCTGGACGGAGCACGGCAGAACAGAAAGAGAAGCTATAAGATGCAATGTGGCAGCAAAGAGACCTGTTCTACAAATGTTCATGCACAATATGATTCAATATATTCCATATATCCCCCAACATTTGGCATCATTTGTCGCTTGATTTGGGCTTTCGTCCTTCGTGAAACTCAGGGACCCACCCCTCCATCTATAGAGGCCACTGGTCACCGCCCATGCTGTTCCAAGACGGCTCACGACCCGCGAGGTACATCCTCCAGCAACTCGAGCGAGGTTCCTCGAGCGTGGGCGACGGCGCCGTGGACCGCAGGGGCTCGACCACCTTGGTGGACCTCGCGGGTGGCGCTGGATGGCTCTCGTTGCTGGCGGGGCGGGTGACGGGGTGAGGAAGAAGGGGGGGAAGAGGTGGCAGATGGGAGGAGGTGACGAAATGGAAAACACATTGTTCTTGGAGCAACTGCTGGCTGCTGCCTGCTAGCAGCATCTAGAGTCTAGAGAATCTATGAAGAAGTTTTACGTATTATATATATATATAGTATATACTGTAAATATGGGGGAACTAGGCTCGATTGTTGCCTTAGGAGAGGTTCTTGGCCTGGCTTGCACGCGGTCAATCTCTCGGACGGTTTGAAAACATGAATGGATGTTGAGTCCTGATCACCAACAAGCCCATGGATCTACATGCCTCCCTATATATAGTTCTATGACACAGTTCCCACTTTGCTAAAGAGCTTCCCTGGATTAGGGTGTCAGGTATCTCAGGTGACTTCAGAAAGAACAACAAAAACAGGTGCACATGTGCCAGGAGTTCCAAAGGGGTGCCATTTAGTCCCATCCACTGAGTGGATATATCATGAGCACCCTATCCTCCAAGTGAAAGGCACCCAGACATGGAACTGGTGAAGAAGGTTCTTCGGTCTTCAGGGTTTGAAGATGTTGTAAGGTGGAAGGTGAGGGGAATCCCTGAAAAGGCAAGGGTCCCCGGAGCATCAGAAACATCAAGAAACAACTTGAAGAACTTAAGTTCCAGGACTCCTGGTTCATGTCAGGATCCATTTGTCAAGGAAGCTTTTTTGGTTTTGTTTCGCAAGTTGGGTGATGAGGTGTGCCAGAATGAGTTGGGTATGGTGATTCTTACGGCGACGCTGCATCTGGCAGCGCATCACAGTAGGTGTATTCTTTCAAGTCGCTCTTCCCTGTATCTTTCCAGCAACTGCAGTGACCCAAAGATGATCCAGACGTGCACTTCTCCACATCTTTCAAGTCGTTAACGTTCTAAACATGTCTAGTCGACGTTCTGTTCTTTAAGGGCCCAGCTCGTGGGATCTGAATGTCGCTTCAGGGATCTGAAGGTAGATGCTTCTGAGCAGGTATGTGTAGCTGGTGTCCCATAGATGGTCTGAAACGCAAGCATACCAGAATAGATCAGAATATAGAGATACCGAGATACAGTACCTACTCACCTTTAAGAAGTCATTCCTATCAGTTCCGTTCTTAAGACAATAAAGCACAAGACCGGACTAGAATTATGATGTTTATCCAGCACCTTTTTGACTTCACATTCCAACGTCTAGACAGAGAGTGGACGGGGTCCCTCAGGTCAGTTCGACTCAAGCTGAGAGTAGCTCCAGCCACCCACCCATCAGCAAGACATCAGATGAAATCTGAAACCACCAGTTGAACTGATCAACCTGTCCATTTAATTTCTTGCACATCCTCAGAACCCCGGCCTCCAGGGATTTCCTATTCCGCCTCACCCTGTCGTTCCGCCCTCATCTCGCCGCCGATCGGTCTCGGCGGATGCCCGCCAGGTGAAGGCAGCGCTGCCCAACGCCACTGTGGCACCTCAGAGGGTGAACGTGTCGGGTCTTTTTCCCCATCCCCAACGTTCCCCAACGAGGTTCTCAAGGAGAGACAGGGTGCGGAGGGGGTGTGGGTGTCTTTTTGGGACCGGGAGTTTTTTGGAAGATATCATTATATATCCTCCTTGCATTTCTCACTCTAAAATGAGGGGCTTGAGCCCTGGATTTGCTACCATTTTAGGTAAGAAACTTTTGTCTATAAAATGCCATCTATTTTTGATGGGATACAGGTGAGTAACTTCTTCATTTTTAGAGTATTTTATTATTATATAACAATATGTCTACACGGAGCGGCGCTCTGCGGCGCCCAGGTCTACACAGACCTCTCAGCCTCGGCCTGCGCCGTGGCTGAGAAGGCGATGCAGCAGAACGCCGTTGGGTCGGTGGAGCTGCGCCAGGGCGACTTCTTTGAGCCCTTGGAAGGCACGAGACGAGATGTGGCACGAGGGTGTGGAGGGTGCGGAGGGTTGCGGAGGGTTGCGGGGTGAGGATGTTGCTGCTGCGGTAAGGATGGGATGTGTGATTGTGTATGTCGAGAGAAGGGGAGAAAGTGCAACAGTAAACCCCTTGGTTCATCCGATGTTATAGAGACTGGTTGCCTGGCTGCGAAGTGGTTTGCTCTGAAAGTGAGAGTGCAGCAATTGGGATCTCTTGGCACATCTTAACACTCTTAGAATTGCGGACCGATGCGGTGAAGCAACTGCAAGAAGGCATCAGCAACTGCGAGAAGGCATCAACACGTGCGATGGAGCCACTGGAGCAATGTGGAGGTTCCTATGGTTCCAGCACCTGAGTCAGAGGCTGATTCGTTCAAGCACCAAAACACACAACGTATACTCTTTTGTGCTGCAAAATGCTGGCACCTGACCTCATGAATCACGCTGAAGATCCAGAATCCCTCCTGGAGTTCAACATTGGTTTGGACATGGTTGCACCTTTTCAGCTGAGTTGTACCAGTGAGAAAAGAAGACAATCTTGTTCATCATGTCTTGGGTGCCGTTACTGCCAGTGTCACGTCGCTTAGTCATCCCTTCAGTTTCCACGGTGCCACGGCCCCCCGCGTGCCCCCGTCACTTGCGTGCCAGGTGTGTCCTACGACTTCATCTTCAGCTACCCGCCCCAGGTGCCAGACGCGGACTCTGGCGGTGGCGACGGCCGCGGAAGCCCTGAGCTGGCGCTGAGGGCGGCGGATCCCATGGAGTTCCTGGAGCGGTTCTGCCGGGAGACTTGGAGAACTCAAAGGCAACAAACATCCATGGGCTTTCCAATATGGCACTGTTTCAATCCTTGACAGAACAAGCTAAGTAATTATCTTGGGACAATCGAAACATCCAGAACTGGTTCTGGTTGGTGGGATTCTTAGTTTAGTTTGGTTTTCTAAATTCATGTTCACAGAGGGATAATTTTTGGCGATGAGGGGACTTGGGCGAGTCACTGGTCAGGATGGTAAGGCACCAGTGGTTTTCAGATTTTTGCTGTCCAATAAATACTGAAGACCTGGGCAAGCGGACCTTTGGTTTGTAAGTCATGCAGGCTGTCACCCTCAGAAGCAGCTATTTCTGCGGTTTGGCGGGACCAACCATGGGGACCACCGTTTTGTGTCTATAGGGTTTACACCGTTTTACACACCGCGTTGGGTGTGCTTTTGGAGTTTGCGCCGCGCTGCGCCGTGGCCAAACCGACCGCTGCGGCCCGAGAGCTGCCCTCAGGAGGTCTCCTTTGGCACGGCCGGATGGCTGGGTGTGACCTGGGACGCTTGGCCGGTGCTGCCGCGCAGAACGCGCGGGGAACACCTGCGGTGAATTGGTGTACCTTGATATATTCGTTAAGCCTGGTTGACAGACTGGGATCCACCTGGCGATTTGATTGTTCATTTTTTGGGGGACAAACTGAAAGCAGACATGCTTGGGTGACACATATCTTTCTGCGAGCAAGCAAGCAATCAGGCCAGCAAGCAAGCACATGTGAAAAGGATCAGCGGACATCTCCAGGACATCTCCCTACTGTTTCGTCCCTAGTCGGTGAAGAAGCCGCATGCACCAGCGACCCTCCGAACGATGTTCGGTGTGTATTTTCCTGTGACATTCCCAAAACACAAGAAGAGAGATTACTACATCATACTGGATGCGTTTGATTCTCGGACCAATTTGTAGAGGTCACCAAGTAGGAACCAGCCATTACACCCAGAATCCGACCAGGAAATCATTGTTCGTGTATGTTCCCTAGGGTTCCAACTACCTTCTGAGGATGTGGTTGGAGCCTTTAGGGTTTTTGGGGGTCTATACTTCAGGCCACCGGCTCACACCAACCACTGGGCACCGCACGGAGCTTGGGCGCCCGTTCAGGAGCTCGTAGAGACGACAATGACGGTCTGTTGTCAGCAAGGCTTGGGTTGGGCCCACAGGAGGTCGGTCAGCGTGAGGGAAGGTTCTATTTGGGGATGAAACGTGTTGATGTTTGTTATTTTCTTTTCTTAATTGCTGCACATTTGGGTTGGTTTTGCGCACTTTTGGGGATTTGAAGTTTGTTTGAGTTTGTCAATGCCACTTCGCCCAAGCCTATGCTTCCTGGCGAGGATCCTTTTGATACAACATCGAATCTTCATACATTCTTGTCCTAGGCGCCTGGTAGTGAGGTCTTCGGGTCATTTTAAATGCAGCTGGGCTTGTTTGCGACCGAAGAACCATGCACTTCCAACGATGAGCAAAACAGGGTGATGGGAGAAGACCTGGTAGCTAGAGTGGGTGTTGGCATAAGCACACAGACCATCTACGTTGTGCCAGTTCAATTGCATATATTTGCTCCAAATGAAGATTCTCAAGCTCCTTGGGGGTTGTATGGTTGTGCTCCCTTCAGATTGTGAGGTGTATAGGCATATCGGAACCTTATGATGTTCTTTGCCACTGCAGTGGTTGCAAACAGTCATCTCCCCATTCCGCTTGACTACGGCGAGGTTGGAATGTGAGCATTCCGGAGGCTTTCCAGCAGCTTGCAGGATAAATGGCAGGGTGCTGGAGTAAAGCAGTGAATTCCAAGCAGAGAAGTTTGGTCAAATATGGACTGCATTGGTTGTTTATAGCGATGCTGCGATGTTTATATTTTTTTGGGGATGTTTGTAGGAATTGTGGCTTGGACCTCGAATCAACATGTCTTCTCTATAGTGCAAGTTTACAAAGTTGTCACGCCATGCAGCTTACACAAAAAGAAATCCAATGTCGTTTCCTGGTTCTGCAGCTGATCCACCCTGATCCGCTCAAGGCAAGACATCAACCTCCCGGCCGTACTCCTCGAGCTCCGGCGCCCGGACACGCCGCGGACCGCGCCCGGAGACGGCGCGGATCGCCGTGCCTGCGCGGAGCACGCACGCCGCGCGGCGGGGCGATGCCGCGAGTGGCTCATGCGGCAGGGACAGCTGCAGAGGTCAGCGGAGATGGGACATCCTGCGGCGCAGACGAAGTGGGGAATCCAGCTGAGACTCGGAGAGAGGCTTGAGAGATGGTGAGAGGAGCGGAAGTCTGTGGATCATGGCCGTGGGGGTGAACCTAACACTGAGACCACCGATGGTCCTCAAACGATAGAGGTTGGGTGGTTTGCAAAGCACGCGTTGCCGCCCAATGAGGATGCAGCGCTCGGCCGAGTGGAAGGATGCCTCCCTCCAGCAGGAGGCGCTGTTCGAGCATGTTTGAGCCATCCCTCTTTGGGGCTCCAGGTACCTCCGGAGCAGCCCTCACTGAGTTGGAGTCAGTGGATTCTTGGTCCAATGTTGAAGAGAAGACGATTTGACGGGACCTTTTCATACGGGTTGGTTTAGGGCTGACATAGACAGGATTGTTTTTTTTTCACAATTTGGGTGTAGTGTGTTGAAACAAGTGAGGTTTAGTGAGGTGGGGCAAACCAGCTTGCTCAGTCCGTCCTGCACTGCCTTTGGGCCCAAACACACCATTTATATCAATTTATACATATTTGCATTTGCTTCTTGTTTTTGGTCCCAAATGTCATGTCCTGATCTGACCAGGGGTCCCAACCCTGCAATATCTTGGGGTAAAGGATGACCATTGGAAATCATCATCCCTACCCGCTGGTATGGATTCATGAGGTGTAAGAGGCATGAGGCCATCAAGGCCTGGCCCGCCTGTCGACGACAGGCCATCCGCTGGTACAAACGCGCAGCACAGCAGGGCGAGATGGCGGCCGCCACACGGCTGGGTGCCTCGAGATGCAAAAAGCAATGTCTTGATGCAAGGGGAGCGCCAGATGAGGCGAACAACAACGGCGAGAGCTCCAGAATGTGCGAGAGCTCCAATGTTGACTGTTGATGAGCTGGAGGTATTTAGATCATCCTGGTCGAAATCACTTGTTTGGAAGATGGATGAGAGTCTTCCCAAAAACGGATCCGGGAGCTGCTTAGGAGAAGGTGTGAAAGACTATCAACAGATAAGACTGCCTTGAAACGTGTGGGGTATCCCGGAGAAGGGTTGCTTCAACCTGACCAGGGCTATCCAGGACTCTAAGTGATTTCCATCCTGTCGTTAGAGTGATTTAACCCCGATAAAAGTATCTGTTGTTCCTTCTGAAGCGGTGGTTGGAGTTCGACAACGTGGGTCATAAACCAATGGTGTTTGAGTGTTCCATTTGTGGTCAGTTTTTGACAGACAAGTCGGGAGGAACTGGTCAAGCACCCGATGGTCTCCGTGCTCCCAAAATCATGAACAGACATGTTCCATCCTGTGCGAGTGTATTGAGGCTTCTTGTACTTGACTGGCGATGGTGTGAAGAAGAATGCCAAAAAAGGCATGGCTATGCCGGCTGCTGCTTTGTTTTCGGGCCAAGTAAGATGAATATGCGACAGCAAATTCGGTTGGACAAACTTATGAGCGCAAAACGAGAAATGTCCACAGTCAATGCATTACTTGTAGCTGGTGGTGAAGGGTTTAGAAGGTCAACATGTTGGTTGGAGATTAGTTTGTTATTTTAGTCTATATACAGTATATATATATATGTGGTTCCAAATAGTGCAGGAATGTATCCATCAACGTGCACTGCTGGGGCAGAGCCACACGTGTTGAAAAACATGTGTTTTGGTGTTGACCGGAAAACAGTATGGGATCGTCAACACACAATGTTCCAAAGGTTCCAGTCGGTGTTTTGTAAAGTTTCATGGAAGCAGTGCCGTTTCAAGAAAAAAGTGAGGTTTCAATCCTTCATCGTCTTCAACACAAGCACTCAAAAACTGTTGACAACAGTGTGTGCCGTTTGATCGCCATTTTGCACCATTTGAGCGCTATGTTGTGCTGTTTCGTGAGGGTCACATGCTGCTTGAACAGTTGTTCCGTCACCATTTCAGGAACAACATACGCATAAGCCGTCGGATTTTTGGAAGACCTCCAAAATTATCTCAGGAATGAGGGAGCTGAAAGGTCCCACCCAAAGAAAGGCCTTCTGCTGGGAAAAGATACCACTGGCCTTTTGGGAAAGGATAGACGACTCTTCAAAGAAGATGAAATAATGAACAGCCGAGATTTGTGAATCCTTTTTCCTCATTTTACAGTAGTCAAGTCAATAAGTCTACCCAAAATACACACAGGATAGATCAAGGCGAACAAGTGTACCTTTCATCAGGCCATCTTTGGTTGCCAAGTCGGTATCCCTCAATTCTCCAACTGCCAGCTCTTGATCACTGCATAGCCCCAGCAAACCGCAGCAAACGGATCGAATCCGTGCCCTCAAAAAGTCCATCAACACCACCCGTGAGCTGTGAATGCCAGGGAAGTGGAAGGGTGAGATAAACGACCCGGTTAGATCCAGAGTTCAACGGTCTAGCGTTTCGACAGGCCTTGACTACTTGTGGCGCGCGTCTCTGCAGGGTGAACCTTGGCTGAATGAGTGACCTTCCGTTCGGTGTTTCTTTTTGCGAGGTCTTCTTCGGGGGAATCTGGCAAACAGCTTGAAATGCAAACCGAACCCTGATTTCATGCATCCTGAAGAACCTAACCATGAGGAAAGCCAATGAATTCTCGGACCGCATGTATTCTTGTCACTTGCTTGATACATGGCAATTTGACTTGACAACTGCTAAGCAGCACACATTATTTGAATCCTCCTACTGGGCACGAATTAGTTGGATGTGCGCTTGAATGGCTTCACGCCTTTCGGTGGCCCAACAGCATACATGCGTGCCCAACTGCAGACATATAATATATATATATAGGTAACTCTTGGATGGATATGCTGCTTTATGTTCTTGGTTCGCGGCTAGTTGCCCTTTCGACAGACTGCCGGTGAAGGTCAGTTTAAATTTGCTGTGGCTTGTAATCAGGCGGAGACCACATTCTCCACTCTTGTGGGGCAGGTTCTCTCCATGTGTGGGGTGGCTCTCATTCCAACTTATATCAACAAAGCTCGAATCAATGTGTTGCCAGTTAGCTGGTACATGTGTCTTTCAGGTGAGTCCTCTTGGAGAACTATGTCGCTCCAGACGGGTATCCGTTGAAGATTAAGGAAGGGAATCGTCGTGCTAAATCCATTCGTGCAGTGGGCGCTTGAGCCACTTCGTCTTTCGTTTGCCTTCGCTTTGCGCTTTCGCTTAATTACGTAATTCGCCCATGACCGGTGGTCACCAGACCGCGATATAGCCCCTTCCCCGCCACTTGTGCTAGGGGGGGCTCCCTTCAGCAAGTAAAAGTGCCGCGTTGGTAGCCACAGGTGTGTATTCTGTGGTCTTCTGTTGCGCAAACAAGCATTCACACCACTGAAAGAAGTAACCAATCACTATAGAAGCACCAACCTAGTTCCTACCAAGGGCATCCAAAAAGCGTCTTCAAGATGGAAGCCCCATCGAACTTAGTGTGGCCTAGGCGGCCTAGATTAGTTTTCCCTTGGATAGTCCTATACACATATTATTGCTTGACTCGTGGCCCAGTTCCTTACAACCTGAACAGAATCCTCAGGAGCCCGGTGCCATGTTTGGTTTGGCCGAGACGGAGGCCTTGGCGGGCCACGAGGAGGCAGCGAAGCAATGGTACCGGAGGCAGGGTGAGACTGGTTGTGGATGGACATTTCAATCTGAGAGGGGTTTTGGTGTGACACTACGATGAAGACATGCAGGTAGAAAACCCCACCTGTTTGGGTTTCGGAGCATCGTTTTCCCAAGGGCCAGGCCAGCCACAAACCATAAGACCTCTGTTCCATGCAATCCCCCGTCCGCACGGGAGCGATTTGGACCACACAGTTGGGCCGAACTGGACCGCGGCTTTTTTAATGATACGGCGACCACCGAGATCTACACATGAAGAGAGCGGAGGAGATGGGGATTTTTCACATGACTTGGGGATTGTTCACAAGAAGCTTCCTTGACCAAGCTGACTTGGGTGGCCTTTGTGTTCGGTTCTGATCCGAATCCCGAATACTGCTGGCCCCCACAAACCTCAGCCATGGAGAGGTTGATCCCCTGCGTGACGTTGCAGGTCTGCCGCGCGCGGCTTCACCGAAGCCAAGCGTCAGCTGGGGCTCTTTCTTTTGTCCCGGTCTGGTGAGCACTCGGAAGAGGCCGATCATGACTGCCCGGGTAGAACCTATGAAACCTGCACCGGTCAAAACCTTTGTTTTTTGCACAGAAGAAGGCCACGGATCGGATCTGAAGGCCATCATCGGTTTGTCTCCACTATATATACAATTCCTAAAGGTGGCAGGAACTTCTTATAGGGTGTTATAGTGGTCCTGCATTTCTCTTTGTCCTATAATTCCTCTCACTTGTGTCGCTCCCCTGCCAACTTGTGGATGAGGCCGAAATGCACCGAACGTCCACCTGGTTTGACAACCGCCAACCCCAACAGATGAACGAAACCCTTTCGAAGCTCAAGAGGCCTTTGAGCAGCTCAAAGAGGCCGCAGCTGAGGGTGATGCCAAGGCGCACCAGTTCCTCGGGATCCAGACAGAAGCAAGATGTCAATATTTTTGGAAAGAGACTCCAAAACCAAAAGAGACTCCAAAAATTAATCACTTGTTTTTGCCCGATAATTCTCAATGAAACTATGTTGAACATGTCCTGATGTAGCTTGTAAATACAATGAGGTCTATCTCTACAAGATGATAGCAATGGTTCTAGCTTTACCCGTCGTCTAGGTTCTATCTCTACTCCCAAGGGCTCCCGGATACCTTCTTAGAAGGTGTTTGGGGTCTGAGGCCTGCCTGACCAGGTTGTGGCTCCGGACCCAACATCAACAAAAGTAGGAACTTAACGCGGACATGGTGTTCCCAAAAATCATCAATGGTAACCAAATATATCCAATGGAATCGTCTTCCGGACATGTCTTGAACCACAGTCTTCCCCCAAAATCATCCATGGTTGCCAAAAATCATCGATCTCACGTGTGGTGTTCCCTCACCAAGGGATTTTGTACCACCAACTTGTTCCTGCCACCCTCCAGCAGCCCGCCGTTTTCACATGCTCACCACACGTGCTCACGCCAACGACGAGCTCACCACCAAGCGCGGCAGCTCAGTTGGCATTGCATTGAAGGTCTGCAAGCTCCCAGCGGCACACAACCTGAGATGTGTCAGCAGAGCTGACTGCAAGTTGATATTCATGGATGTTTAGTGTCGAGCCTGGGGTGGGTTTGGAGGGTCGAAAGAGGAGGCACTTCAGCCCCTGAGGTGATGAAAATACTGGATCGATCCAGGGCTCCAAGTACAAAAGTGTAGCGTAGTAGTTCTAGGGCTCCATGCACCTTAAGAAGGTGTTTGAGGTGGGCTTGAAGTTTGGAAGATCTTTTGATACCTTCTGAGAAGGTACTTGAAGCCCTAGCGAAGGTAGCGGTAGTAGTAGTGGTAGTAGTCGTCGTCGGCATGCTCATGTTTGGTCATGGGGGGGATGCGTGATGGTTAGCTAGGCACCAATGATGACCCAGTCCTTGGTGCTGATGATGATTGGTTCATCATCCAGGTTCTCTATCACGAGCTCCTCACCCTGATCATTGTTAGCGATATCCTGCAAAACAAGGTTCAGTAACAGGCCCGTCAGACGATCAATCCGTGCTGCACAGCATCATGGCCAAGATCACCCACATCCTCACAAATTCACTTTAAACTGCATGATTTTAGAGACATATAGCTGAGACACTTACAGAACCCATGCTGCGGAAGTGGACATAGAGTAGAGCTTCATGAGCACCTTCACCATAGGGTTCCTGCGCAGAGCGACGACGGAAACTAGTACTTCAGATCAGACCGGAGCTCCTAGACCCGTCTTTGCCGTCAGGCGGTGGAGGTGCTGGAGCGCTGCGCTAAGTCGAGTGGCTTCTTTGTGAGCCCACTCCTCAAAATGAAATCACGCCCAAAAGAGTACGCTGTGCAGATGCTTTTTTTTGAATGAAGTCATGTCCATGAAGTCATGCCTCAAAGTGGGGTGAACACTGGTCACTGGTACCAAATCAAACACCCGGAGACTATATAGAGCTTCTAGAACTAGGTTGGTTTCATAACGTGTCTTTAGAAGGGATGAATTAGGCCAAAGATCTCGCATCCTCTTCTTGCCCCGCTCAACAAACCCCAGTGCTCCGGCAGATCATCTCTGAATCGATATCGACTCAGAGCCAGGAAACCTCAAAGTCTTTCAGGGGCGGGATCCCTTGCGGCAACACCAGTGGGTCTCTTGAAAAAGCCAGCTGCAGCCTTGAAAAAGGAAGTTGCCAAGAAAGGCTCCTTGAAAAAGGGCGCTGCAAAGAAGGCCTCCTGAGAAAAGGAGACCAGGAAGCCTTGGGTGAAGCTTTCTAAGACAACAGCTGGAAAGCCACCCAGGTGCTGGTAGCCATAGCAATGGGCAGAAAAAGTTTTTGGTTGTGGAGGTGGCAAAGACCATCCAATACAGCTGGGTGGTAGACAGGATCAAAGAGTCACTGGAGAAGGATCACCTCACAAAGGGGGGAGGCCCTCCAGATGAGGGAAGACTTGTGTGCCGAATTTCCTTGAAAAAAGGGAAATCCACAAGTCAAGGAACACCTTGATAAAGGTGTAGTTCCTCTGCCACAGTGATAGGTGTGAATGATGCACCTTGAAAAAGGTACAAAGTTTTGGACAGAGTGCCTGTGTGTGAAAAAGGCTTCCATGGCACAGGCTCTGCACCACTTGGGCATGCTTCAGGTGAGACCCTGTCCCACCAAATATCTTTGGGTTTTAGTTTAGACCACATGGGTGCCATCTGAAGCATGTCAAGAGCACAGTGTCTCTGCAGCTGTTTTGCTCATGAAGCTAGCATGCTTGGGCACAGCTGCACCACCACACTCCACACTTCACAGCTCACACAGTGCACAGTTCACTACTTACACAACTTACACACTGCACAGCACACTGCACGCACTACAAAAGTTACACACAGAGACGCACAATACCACACAATACACAACACTAGGACAAACAACCTAGGTCCACCTGTAGCCTGCCAAGGTGGTCCAAGCGTTTTTATTTGCTGGCGTGGCCAGTTCATTTTCTGAGTTGAACCATTTGCCCAAGAACCTACATGTGCCAAGGCCAAAGTCTTTGCTCTTCAGACTTTGCCGGTTCCACAGGTCTCAGCAATCATTGCAACTTTTGAGTTCTAGTCGTCGGCTGGCCGATGGTTCACACCTCATCCTCATCGACGTTGACTTCAGCAGTTTTTTATGATGTCTATAGTCTAGTACTGTTGAGCCAAGTTGAATCCAACACAGAACATCCATGCCTTCTTTCCATTAGTGGAGAAGATTAACAGCTGCCCTTGAAAGAGTTCACATGTTCAACGCCGCCCTAAACGGCATTGGACTGAGCAGATAATCAAAGGCGTCACATCTCATCCTTATATGAACGGATGTCATCGTGTATTAGCATGCTCTGTCTTTGCTTTGTCATCCAGTGGCAAAACTTGCAGCTGCACATGGGCATGCCGCCTGCCTGTGCGAGCTTTCATCGGAGCCTTGTGGGCGGTGGTATTCCTCCAAGGGTGCCTCTGTGCGCAGGATGAAGACTTTACAGACTACGCCCATGAGGTGCTACTTGAGCGTGCTACGATGTGGATGTTTCTCTCGCTTTGTCTTACTATTTTTTTCATGCGAAGTCTATAGGAAAGGGCTCACCAACCTCAAGTCGTGGTGCTGATGTTTTCAAGTAAGCCGGATGAGGCTGCTCAACATCCTGCATGCAGATTGGGACAGCCCGGGCAAAAGCAGCGCTTCCCGTGATGACTTCTTCGGTGTCCCATCGAAGGTCATCAGTCTCTGCCCAAGCTTTGCGAAAAGGATGTTGCGGTGTGAGAGCGGCAAAGCCCTTTGACTGTGGTGCGCAACAATCTCTTTGCCGGGAGAGCCCGGGTGGCGCGGTGAGCAGAGCTGCTTGGACTGAGGGCGGCGCCTTGGACCGAGAGCGCGGCGCCCACTTGGACCTATGCTGCGAAGAAGGCCTGACGAACACCATTGCCACAAAGAGGGCGGCGTGGCGATGATGGCCCACATTGCAGCAGTTGGGTGTGGCTATCACGAAGCGTTACAAAAAGCAGCCCAAAAAATCCATATACGGAGACACTGACTTGTCGACTGTCAGAGAGGGCAATCTGGTTAATGAAAGAGTTTCTCTTTTGCGCGCCATTTGTTCTATGCTCAAAATCGCGTCGGTCATTGAGCAGCCTGCCAGCAGTTTCTTCTTCCATACAGAGATGATGCGCTTCCCCATGGCAGCGCCATCTTTTCATGAAGGATTTTGGGTACAGTTCCAACAATCAACTTTGCTCTTTGGGGTGGCCGACTTTCTGCGGCAATCGGCGCGAAATTTAAAGCAAGGGCGGCAAGGGCCCGCCGACAGAGAAAGGCTGCAAAGAAGAAGCCATCCCCAAAGAAGCAGGCTGCAAAAGCCAAAGCTTCAAAACCACAAAGTGCTCCAAAGGCAGAAGCCATAGTCTAGCGCGCTGGTGATGAGCCCGAGCAGCTGTGCGCTGTCAAGGTGAAATTAAAGACTGGCAAGAAGACAGTGACTGGCAAGCCTAAAGCTGCGAAGGCTTCGCAAGTCTACCCTGTAAAGTTCGCCTTGCAGATTGTGACAGGGCAGTTTCCGCGTGACAGTGCGCTTTCTTAGTCAGAAGGACACCTGCAGGGGCTCGCAGGCAAAACGGTGGCGAACGTTTGTGAATCGCTCGCAATGCGCTGGTTCATTTGCGTGAAGCTTTGGAGCAATTACTCGATCAGGCTTTGTCCGTTGACGGCCAGCGCTGCCTCTCCTCAGTCAGGCCAGTCTCTGAGGCAAGCTCTGCTATGTTCAGCCCAATGCATCGGCTGGCCGATGGTACCCCTGCCTCAAAGGACTCGGCTTTACGAGCACCGGCTTGCCGGTGGTATGACATGCAAGGTTACTTAGGCTTTATGAGCACCGGCTTGCCGTGGAAAGCAACACGCCGCCATCGCCTACGGCTGACATGTCAACTATTAACTGTGGTGGTTTGGTTGGCCTTGATCAACTGTGAGTGGGGTTCTCTGGTCCACGTCCGCTATACGTGTCCACACAACATTGACGGCGTGGGTGTGTGATTTAGAACAAACCTTCAGCTCAGTGGCCGTCCTTCACATGAATCTTTTTGTCAACCAGACATCCAGCACGTCCTTCTACAACCAAATGTCAATCCGAACGCGCCCGTTCCAAACTATCAATGGTTGTGAACGGGTCGGGAAACAGCATCATGCAATGGCTAGTGTGTCTAGTGCATTGCGCTGATGATATATCTATCTGTATAACTTTCCCTCCTCCACCCTGAAAACTTTCCTGGCCTCCACGAGCTATGAATGGCTGGCAGGGAAAATGCAAAGAGCTCGAGTGTGCGAGTGCGCATGTACATCGGCTGGCCGATGAATATGACATTCACACGTTATAGTATCAGAAGTGTTGTTTCAGTTCTATGTGACTTCTGCTGTACTATCAAATTGTAGAGATAGACTTCTGTAGTTAAAGATATGTTCAGCATAGCTCCTTTGATATTTTATTGACAAAAAAGTGACTTCTGCTGTGCTATCATCGTGTAGAGAAAGACGTCATTGTATTTATAAACTACATCAGGACATGTTCAGCATATGTTCATTGATTTTTTGCTACACAACGATCAATATTTGGAGTCCCTTTTGGTTTTGGAGTCTCTTTCCAAGAATCTTGACAGAAACTAACCAAAAAGATGTTGGTTTCGTTGTGCGTGAGCTCCTACCACTTGTTCTTTTTTGTTTGGGAGACGGGGCAGGTGGAACCTGTGTAGAGTCGAAATACTTGCTTCGTGTCGGGTATGTCAATATAGCGAATATAGGTGTGTTTGTGGCTGACTAAAACGGATATATAGATGATACAGTGATAAAGTAGATATGCCTATGGTGAACAAAGGTGGACCTTTGTCAATTTGTCATATATATATATATATGTGAGGGATCAGCTATGTAACGTTATTTACATGTGACAGTTGTTTCACACAACTGGTTCCGTTTCCCGTTTAGTTGACAACAACGTACGGGCGTGCTCCATTAAAATCTGTTTTCCCGTCACCGCTGAAATCCTGGATCAAAACTGAATTTCTTAGAGGGTCCAGGTCCAGATGTTTCATAAGTATGACTTGTTATATAGTATGTATCATGTGCAATTCCTTCCCGTTCTTCAAGGGCTCCACCCTGAAACCTGATTGGTTGCTGAGGCTGCTGAGGCAGTACTTCTTCCAGACTTCCCAAGAACTTTGAGGCTGCTGAGCGGCAGCTGCGGGATTGGCGTGCACGTTTCTTGGAGCTTGCAGAGCTGCGCTAGACTCGACAGAGGCCGCCGGCCAGCCGACTGCATCTCAGCAGGTAGATCCATAGTCGTTTAGAAAAGAACGTTGTCGTGTCGTGATAGGCGAAACTGATTTCGTCATTGCCTGCGACTTAAGCTCCCCGATTCTCGTCAGGTCTGCGATTGCTTGCGACGTGAAACGCCGGCGTTTCGCTGCCTGAGAACGCCTTTGAGTCACCGAGAACGTGGTTCCAGACATGATCGCAAAGCAGGAAATAGGCTGAGGGAAATGCTGAATCCCTGAACTCAGGGAGGGTAGAAATGGGCCTCTAAGGTGGATTTTTGCATGGAGTAAATCATTTCCATATGGATCCACAAACCTTCTGATGTATATAGTATAGGCTTGGAGTGTCCAAGTATCTTCTGAGAAGCTATATGGATCCCTAGGGTTGGTCTCGTCGGGCCTATGACAGATCTTCCATCCAAAAGTCCGGAGCCCGCAAGAATACAATCACTGCAGAAGAGGCAGTGGGACAGCACACTAAATAAACAATGGGGTCTGCTATGGGGAACTCATCCTTCTATCCCCTGTTGTTCAGAGAGTTGTAAAGCTTCATGTGCAAGCCAGTAGCGTCAAGTTTGTGGGGTTTTTGTGGTGCAAATAGATCTTCATGCTTGGCTTAGCTCAATGACAAGCTTGCCAAGCTTGCCCATGTGCATCATAGATTGTCATAGATATTTCTAATCATATGACATACATATGGGGAGCACCAGACCCACACACATCATGTGAACACGGAAGACCGTGTATTCCTCTCATTTGCTTCCTCCGTTTGCTGGGTCACAGGCTATGCCGACTGCGCCACACACGCTGCGCTTCGATCATCCACCATGCCAACCTGGTGGGCAGCAGTGGTGAAGATCAGAACGCACAGGCTGCCGAAAGACCTGAGATGCCCTTTCTGTGTGTTATTTTCCGTCCTTTCGTTTGCGCGTCTTGAAGCATTGGCTGGCGATTCGCAAAGTCGCGGTTGGAGCTCAGTGCTTTGAGATGCTTTAGAGAGCCTTTGCCTGTGCCGCTCATAGGAAGTTCAATGCCAGCCGGATTTGGAGCTTGCACGAGCGGAGCAAAAAAGCGTTTGCCGCGGAGGATGACCATAGATCGCCATGGAACTAATAAGACTCACGCATGGAACTATAGCATGGACTAACTAATCGAGTGCGAATTCCAGTGACACCCCCACTAGTCACCACCATCTGTCCTTTTGACTCACACTGCTACGACTCAGTCGGAAGTGCATTGACTCAGTCGGAACCTAGTCAAGTGTCGATCATGGGGCTGGTCCTTTGTGCGACCACTGTGCTGGTCCTTTGGGCGCCACTGAGCCAGTGGATGGACAGTACAACAGATACCCGGATCTTATGCAAAATATGCGCCAATTCATCAAACTAAAATCCGCCGAATTAAGGCGAACATGTTGTGGAAAATATGCTGCAGGGATGTGCACCCTCCCAATTGAGGGGTCTTTGTGGGAAAACTTCCCTAAACACCAAACGCGTGTTGGGGATCGACGTTGGGGGGCCCCAACGCAGGCGCGTCTCCTACAGTGGCCCTTGCTCCCATGGTGGTGCAGCTTGATGAATGCCAAGGCTTGTGCTTCCAAGCTGGTCGTAAGCCGACCCAAGCAGATGAGACATGCACCGACCCAGGAAAAGTGGAGAACCTTCAAACATTCAACCTTCTTTGAAGATTTGTTTCTCCAGTAAATATGAACATATGGAAGAAGGCAACCTTTTACCAGGGAAACTGAGAGGGTGAGCTCGTGGCTTGGGTGCTGCAGGTGATGGCGGAATCGCCTTTACGGCTTTGGGAATGTCACTTGTCATGGCTACCTTAAACATCCTTAAATATATATATATATATAATATATATACACTATAGGATTATATATACCCTGGCAGTCAAAGACCAAATACGTAAAAATAATTGTTTTTAGGTCACCCGAAAAGGAATTTCCTTTACTCTAGGGCATATATTAAAAAACATATACTATATATATATATGGAATTGAAGGCATGCCCAAATCCACCAGGAAAGGACATCTTTGGCAAAAGATTCGATCTATCCGAGGACGCCTGTCCTTGAGGATGGCCAGAAGCTAATATAATGTCGTAAGTGGAAAACTATGAAACTCGTGTTTCCGTCCCGCAAGTCCCGGTTTTTGTTTGACATTACCTTTGCCAAGCACCCCAAAAGTTATTAACTCCTATAGGTTTAGACCTTGCATTGCAACAATCACAAGAGAACACGTCATACTTGCCCTGCATCCGAAATCCTTATCAACCGACCTGCTAATGCAGTAGCAACCAGGACTGACAACCATCTTTGGTGGTTGCCTAGGCACTAAGCAAGATTGTCCAAGGAAGCACTCAAAGAGAAACTGGAACCATCATGCCTCACTGTAAATGTTCTGTGATGAACACGATTCCTTGCATACTCAAAGTACATTTGCAAGTGGGTCCAAACTTCCGACTGCTGTGCACATGCTGTACCTGCCGTACATTGCCCCATGCTGAGCTCGCTCAGTGCATCCGACTGCGACCCTCTCCTATGGATTCACTGGCACAACGCGGAGAACGGAGAACGGATGAGAACGTCCGGCTCGCCAGGCAGAGGCTGCGGAGCCCGTGGGTCGGAAGCTAGTGCAGCCGATCTTAGAGATCCTGGGAAGGCGTTGGGTGGGTTTTCGTTTTCGGTGCTGCTCCGCTGCTGGGACTGGCAAGGCACAATGGAAGAAACATGTGTTTGGATTAGGAAGAAACCCAAAACAGAGATCACTCAGGCTCTAGATCCATTATCATGATTACAGTCTAGCAGTCTAGATCAGTCTAGTGTTATTTTCATTTTCATCCTCAAAGTTCACAACAAAACCTCCCAGTCTCGGCTTTGATCACCGCCCTTCTCTCACTGATCACCAGAGCTTCAGGCGCTTGGAGGAGGAGGTCCGAGAAGGCCTCCGGGAGAGCCTGCTGAAGGTGGGAGCATTGAGTCCGGCGAGGCTTCGGGGATGCCAAGAATGGAGAGTCCAAACAACGTGGGGAAGGCTTGGAAAGGGTCCCAAAAATCCTGCAAGTGATGTTCAAGTGTGGTTGTTTGCAATATGTTGCCTTCTGTTTTGAAGTGATTCAGGAGTTGTGCACTGGAAAAGCACGGCATGTTGAAGATAGGAGGTGAGTTTCATTGCTTGGGGTTTCCTTGCTTGGGCGATTTCACCAAAATACCAAAGTCCACAGACTAAATCGTGAAGCGATTTCACCAGCTCACTTGGTGTTTGGAAAGATTTCACAGATCTTCGGAGTCCATCAGAACCTTCCCAAACAAACCTGCGGATCCATGGTTATCATGGATCCGCACGATCGACCAGGAATCGTTTGGGACGGTGTTGGACACTTGGAATGGTGTGCGGAAGAGTATTCCAGTTCAACTTGCCCTGTAGAAAAAAGAAAACAATCAAGCCACAACACAATACGCTCACTAATTATTTGTCAACAGTTGGTCGAGCAATATTCCCAAATGGTGTGTGGAACTCTCAAGTCCGTTCTGAAATGGCTGCGCAGGGATCAGGCCACCACGTTTCTGCGAACCGGCTGAATGAATCCCATCTAATGCTCATACGAGTCCTCATCAGTCCTTATATATAACTCGATAGGAGTTTCAAGGGAAAGAGGCCCTTTTTCCAACGTTCCAAACATCATTTAGTAGAAGAACGACCGGGCAGTTGTTGGATGAAAAGTCCCAGGAATCAGTGACCGTTGTCGCATCATCCGCTGTACATTTGGATGGAAATGGGTTGGGTTGGTTCATGTGTGTTCTATTGCCTGTAACTGTAACAGTCAGCGAACAAGTATTGCTATGTTTGAACTGTCGGCCTGAACCACCATCATCCTTTGTTACAGGTATTAGGATAGGACCCAAGAGACATGGGAGAATGCTTGGTCATAGAAGCCCAGAAGACTGGCAATCACCGAGGAACCTCCGGCAAATGTGCCGGAGAAGCTTAATACCTCGAGCTAGGTATTCTTGACCAACCCACAAGTTGTGTTGCTAGTGTCACTTTTGCTACTTAAAATGGTCGATTTCTTGGCCCACAAAATCCCCAGATGTCAGGTGGGTTTCTTGGCCACGCGAGTTGACGCGCATTGCTGTGATGGGTTCAAGCCACGATCGTCCTCTTTTGAGCTAGCAAGTCGCAGCCATGGTCTTCATCAAGGAGGGCGGAATTGGAGCTAGGAAATGGTGCCGTCATGATTAGTGAAATGTTCTGACTACTAGAGAGCTTGATTTATTATTTTGGCACTCACGGCACTCACCCAAATTGAACTTTTTCTCCGCTCCCGTTAGGACTTCTACGCAGGGCCGGCGGCGCCGGGCTTTTTCGATTGGAGCCAGGGCAAATACTCTGACTGGAAGGCTGTGCCAAAAACGCGCCAAACACCAGGACCAGCAGTTCAAGGGAAAAACAATTCAGGAAGTCAACGATGTGCATTGCGCTGATTGAAGTGCTCCATTGAACATGGACGGTTGTTTTAAGGCCAGTCTTTGTTTTCAAGGATTTGGGGGAGTGATTGGAAGGTTGTCAGCATGGATTTGCAGCTGGGGTGCGGTGTGGGTACTTTTGGAGAACTGTAACTATACCCTTTTGTTTGATGTCAAATGAGCGGTGAAGTTTTTTGGACGTCATTCTTGTCTGGTTGCATGAATAACTTCTGGATATAGGTTTTGTTGGAAAGAAAGGTAGTTTGCGCAAGGGTTATCTCTATGAGTCTGGTCCTTTGTGGAAAAGCCACCGCAGGTCTTCAACTATCTTCAACTAAGACTCTAAGACCAACAACTGGCTCTTTCCTTATTGAGAGATGGTTTGCTGCATTGGCATATGTTTCCCATCCACCCCCTCCACCGGGTTCACCCGGCCGCAAGGGACGGCCCACCGGGTTCGGGGTTCGTTCGCCAGGTGAGGGTGAATGAAAAGACCTACCACCTTCACAGGGCCGGTGTGGGGGGGGCATCGGTGCCGGGTGGAAGGTAGGGGAGATGTGAGTAGCACGATGGGACAGTTGCAAGATGGGACAGTTTGGAGACACAAATGGCCGGAGCTTCAAATAGGGTCCCATTGGGGTACACTCTCGTAAGGTAATGAAGTACATAAGAATGAAGAAATCCATGGCCACGCAATAGAACATGCAGGGGTCAAATGGCCAATCAATGTTTGGAAAGCAGTGTGCCAAGTTCCAGGAGCCCAAGGAGGCAGACTGATACTGTTCTTTGCAATTGGGTGATGCAAACATGATCGCGTCACCAACAGGTCTCACTTCCTGCGAATGAAACACTCTAGATCCACACCTATCCGGAGTTCTCTTCTCAACGCTCCTCCATCCAGATTTGCCCTCGTGGTTGTGGTCCCTGGACTATTGATGAATGCAAACTTGCGTCGTAGAGATTCGTCTGAGAGACCTGATCCACGGCAAGTACTGCTATTGAGAGCAGGAGTCCCTATACATACAAATGGTCTTGACAAAGTTGATCAACCAATCAATACCTAGAACCTCATTAGGCAATACTTTCCGTCCAACTTCATTTAGGCAGAACAACGTAATATCACGGACTGTGCAATGACCTTTCTTTGTGAACGCGGGATACAGCGGCTAAGTCAAACGGCTAGTCCAACACGGGGATCGCCCGCCGCGAGGCGAGTCGTTTTAGTGTTTCGGGCTCTGCAGGTGAAGGACCGTTCAACAGCAGAAGTCACCCGGATTGACACCGAGACAGCAGCCTAAAGTGAGGCATTTCAACCCCATAGAGATGGATCCCACATAGACACATAGAGTCATGGGGTTGGTGTTTATCCTAGACCTGATGGTTACCTTCCAGGGGAGGAGGATGGTCATTTGCAGAGATCCACACTCCTTCAAACAAACCTAGCCCTTGTGCGGTCTCGAATACTTTCTCCATGTTCCAGCTCGTCGGCTGGCAGCGGATCCCACACGACTTCACGACCTCAATGGCTCTCTTTGGCCGCGACTTCACGTACACTCCGTCTCACGGTTTGATGGAAGTATGGAAGCGTAAA